AATAATGTAGAGAAAATGGCTAAATTCAGCTCCTCCTCCTGCTGTCTTGATTTCCTACTCATGATTTTCCTTAAGAATGTTCTGCCTGTCGTTGAATCTGATCTCATTCAGATAGTAAACTGATTCCTCTCATCGGGTTTTTTCCCTCAGTCATACAAAACAAGAGTTATCATAACAATTTGGACAAATCTATATTCTCCCACTAGCTCAGATTATGAGAAGTAATACCATTAGCTACCATAACTGTACAGATGGTCCACAGCTCACCATCCAATCACTGAACAGACAGAACAGATAAATGTCTGGATGAGCCACAACTTTCTCCAGATGAACAGAAACAAAACTAAAGTTATTTGGACCTAAAGATGAACGATCCAGAGTCAAAGCACAGCTTCAGTTATTACAACTGGAAACTAGAGATCAGGATGAACTCTGACCTCAACCCACCTGTCTAGAGACACCTTGTTTCATAATAACTGGAACAGTGATTAATTCTGGTCTTCATTCCAACATTTGATGATTTTGATGATGATATTTGACAACATAACTGGTTACTGTGTTGTTTTTAACAGAATTAAACTTCCTTGTAGCTCAAATGTTCTGCAAATAGATTTGACTTCTTCATTTTAATGCATTGACCAAAACAAACACATCAACCTAAATGATATTTCTCCTAAGAGCATTCTGCAGCAGAATTAGATGCCACTCAGTAATTTCTCATTAAATATTTCCCATCAGGAAACTCACAGCATCATACTCTGTCTTTCCAGCTGTAGAGAAGCCAGTTTGTGGCGTAGGTCACTTTTCGGGTCACTCATGGTTGGTGGATCAACTGGAACTAAAAACTAAACTGTTAACTTGCAGAAAAAAACAAAATCATTTTACAATAAGAAAATACTGAAGTTCTGTTTTTTTTTTGTTTTAACCTAAATTCCCTCATTCCTTTCAGCTGTAAGAATTTCTACTCAATAACAGAAACTATGACTGAACAGCTTTGTCTCTAGAATAAGAACCAGATTCTGTTCAGAATAAATTACTACAGTAATAGTGTGAATTTATTAGAGCAAAGCTTCAGCTTGTCCTACCTGTTGCAGGTGAAATTGATGCAGTCATCTAAACAGGTAAAAGACCAGCAGCCTTATTTAGAAACCTTGAATCATATTACGTCATGGGCAACACGCCTCAACGAGAAACAAACAAAAAGTGAAAGAGAAACTTCAAAAAATCCCCGGAGACTCCAGTCTGTGAATGTCAAGGTTTTACAGTTTATTGACCTCTATAAACACCAGAGTCCATCCAACACTGAGCAGAAAACCTGTTCATCCTGCAGCAGGATTTGCTCTGTGATGCTGGCATGGAGTCAAATCTGGTAGAAACTCAGCAAACAGAAATAATCATTAGGTTTGTTTTAGTGTATTTGTTTTATTTCTGTCTCTGTCCTCTTCACATCTCACCGAGTTATAATGGAGTTTTATTCGAAGTAATCACAATAACATCATCTTGCATATCAAAGACTGATATTAAAACACACCCCTGACCTGGTTTGACAGGAATCTGCCGGACTTTATAACAGAGGCTGATTCTTCCTGTAAATCGGCTGATTTACTGTAACTCAGCAGCTCTCCACATGTTTTACATGAAAACAGCAGAAACACGGCAGCTGCTTCACAGGCTCCTGGTAGCCTTTCCTTTAAATGTGCAAACCCTGAACTGATGCATGAATCAGTAAATATAAAGATTATGTTAAAGTCTGAACCAAGAAATACTTTAGACATGAGAGCCATAGAGGAGAAACACAGGAGAGAACATGTTCTGTAAGATTATAGATTTTTAATTTGTGATTCTTGCCTGTGACTTGTATTGTGACTAATTTCTTATGATGTTATTCATCTCAGTCTCAGATTCTCTTCAGTTTTTATTTCTCCCATTTTACTGTTTCTATAAAACTGATGTGTAAGAGCTTCAGAGTTTGACTCGGCCGCTCTCTCTTTATGATGTCCAGCTCTTTGGGAAGAGAAAAAAGATTTTTAATCATTCCAATTTCTCCATCAGCCATTGTGGGTGTAAAACACCAAACTAATTTATAAGTAAGTAATTTACAGAGCAACATGTATGGCTCTGATCATCCAAACACCATGTTCTGTATATGGACAGAACCTGTCTGACATCATCTTCCAGCAGGCGCTGAGGACAATCTGTCAGCTGATTGGTTAAAACTCTGACAGTATATTATGGACTGAACTAGTTCTGCTCTCCTGACTCTGAAGTCCCTGCAGATTAGACTGACCCTCGCAACACATAATGACTGGAATCTGATTGGATGAAACTTTGCTAATCCACACAGGCAGGTATGGGAAGCAGCACAGCCAAGAGATACATTACAAAAAAAATCAGTAGATTACTGACAGTAAGTTAAAACCATTTATTTGAACAAACATGGGAATGTAGGTTGTAGATATTTTATTGGTTCTGATTGTATTTAGTTGTGTGAAGAAAGTCTTGAAGGCCCTGAGAGCCCAAAACTGCTGGGAGACGAATTCAGTCTGGGATCCATGAGAAGAAATGACTGATGACTGATTTAGTTCTTTTGATTTAGTTCTTTTGATTTTAAACAACTTAAGTTTTGCTTTCTGGAGGAACCAGTCTGTGGGAAAAATTGTTATTATGGTCAATAAATTATCCTTTTGTTTACTTTGTTTTCAACAGTTTCTGTGCATCTTATACAAACCCACTAACCTCCTTAAATATTTCTTTGATCCATTTTTGTAAATGATCTGAATCTTAGTCAGAAGTGAGGAAAAGCTGGCTTGGCTTTTGGTTAACCTGATAAACTAAGTTATTCAACTCAGAGTTTATCCTGTAGCAGCTTCATTTATACTCTGACAGCAACATTTTCAACAGGAAACAAGAATCTGTGCTGCAGTAAATCTATGAGTTTACTGCGCAAAGAAAAACACCAGATTAAATATTTTCTCTGAAATTGAATCTGTTCAGTAATCAGTCTAAATAATCTGAATTCGCATCACTGGTTTTCAAGAGAACTTTCAAGTCAAGTTTACACTTTTTACAAACAAAGAATATTTAGTTTATAACATCATGTCTGCTGTTATATAACTGATTTAAATCAAATAAATACAAATTATGAATCAATAACTTATCTTGTACACAAACAAAAACTGTAAAAAAAAAAAACAGGTAAATGTACCGTAGAAATTTGAAGGAATTTTTCCGTTTTTAGTTTTACAGGTATTTCTACTGTATTTTTAATTTTACGCATTGCATCATGGGAACAAGAACATTCGCGAAGCGCGAAAACTGGTCAGACGACATTTCAAGCTCCCTAGCCGGACCCTGCAACATATATCTTTTGGACTTCGGTTGGATTAAGAGTTGGAGTTGCCTTTCTGCCACCTCCCTGGTAAAGTAAAATAAATAAGAACACTTTCTTTTCTATGAATAATATTTTGAAATATTTGTAGTTTACTTTGTGAGAGTCCTGGTGTGCCAGGAGTCTCACAATAATTTATACCTTTTATTTTTTTTATTTTATTTTTTTTACAATGCTGCGTTTGCTTGTGTATTATAAAAGTAAAACACGGTGACTGCTGTACTACTATTATTTAATTTATTTATTTTACCGAACTCAAAGTACCGGCCATTTTTTCAAGTCAAACTGAACTGGGCGCGTGAAAGCTAACCGTTCATGGCGTCATGCTACTTGTGTCTCAATCCTGCTTTTTAAAAAATGTCAAGCTGCAGTTGTTTTATTTGCTAAACATGATTTGATGTCCCGGTTGTTAACATAAAAGCAGGTGGCCATTTAACTTCGGTAAATATACTTTCGATGTCAAGTTTGGGGTTTTAGAATATGGGAAATGTCGCCTGGAGTAGGGGGTAGTTAGAGGTGGTGGTGGGGAGTGGGTGAGGGGAGTGCGGTCGAACGACGAACGAACGTAAACTGGGAGCCGGTGGGAACGGGAGCAGCCGTTAGACCAGGGGACGGACGAACGAACGTAATGGGGGCGGAGGGAAACCGTTCGAGGGGACGACCTTAAGACTGGGGTGGGGACGGCTAGTGTTTCAGTTAGCGTTAAATTTGTTGCATGTTCGGTGCTCTAATCAGGCATGTTGAGATTAGGTTAGGTTGATTAACTGTTACAGTGGGTCAGAAGCTTCTTGCCTCATATAAATTGTAAGTCAGTGGATCGTACAAAAAGATAGGTAATTTTCCTGTTTCTGAAATAGGAATAAACATCACTGAGAGTAAATAAGTGACTTTTGCAAAAAAAAAAAAAAAATGCCTGCTTGCAAACTCATTATTGGTTATTGTAGCTTAGCTTAAAACCTATATAACTAGTACTGTTCTAAATTTGTTGTTAGAACAAATTATTTCATTTAATTGTTAAAAAAAACAAATGATTGATTTAATCATTGGAAGACTTGCATGTTTTGGTGTTTATATTTTTTTCTCCTTGTATAGTTATTTTGTTTTCTCTCCAACAGCTGTGTCCAGACACTCCTGAACTTTTCCTGGCAAGTAACTAGGCATCTTTATAATAGCTATGTACATTTGTTTTTGTTTTACTCAACCTGTTAAACCTTTAGTTTAAATTAAGAAATGTGTGGTCTTTTCTACAATAACATAGACATAATGTTTTGTTGTATCTTTCTAATAATGTCTAACGCAGCACTCTGTAACTTATGATACAGTTTTTTACATATTTGTTGAAGCTGTCACTGTGTCCTGATATTGCATGAGAGATTGTTTTATGAAATTTTAAATCAGGGTCGAAGGAGATCGGCGGCAATAACGAAACCAAACGCTGTTTCTGCTAGAATTAAATGTGCTCGATTTATTTCCCCACAGATTACAGCAAAATAACATGCATCAAACACTGTTACTGCTAGAACAAATATGCTCGATTTATTCCCCACAGAATACAGTACAAAACACTCTATGACTAAACACGTGATGCTCGATTCATTCAAGTTATCAGTGCTTACCTCTGAAACGTGACCGGAGAGCCTTCGGCCTAGAGACAAAGCATCAACGTAGCTGGGCGTTCGAACGCGACCCACAGCAGAGTCTGACTCAAAACGCGGGCTTTTTTGTATTTTATCTCTTAAACAAAAGAATGTCCACGTGCAAGAGAGGGAATGGCCACTTCCATCCTTGCAGGCGAGCCATCCAATCAGAGGTAGCCGCTCTCTGACCATGAGCCAATCATGGGCTGAGAGCGTCAACCAGCGGACCAATCAGAGCCCAACCCAAGTCAACCAGAGCTAAGCACGCCCTGTTCACGTGATCCGCATGAGCTTACAGCATGATCAATTTTCTCTTAAATAGCATTTTGACACAGGCACATTCAACCACTTCTCTTCTCCTGAATATAATATTGATAAAGTTGCATCGTTGCCTTGGGCAATGATTTCTGCGGCTTTTGGCGGACCATTTTCCTGTCTCACCCAAACCTTTGCCCCAGGTTTATCTGTGGAGCCAAAGCCCCCTTTTCTCCTTATTGTTATCTCAGTGGGTGGAGAGATTTCCTGAACTTCTGACATATCACATGGTTTCAGTAGCAACTGTGCAATCTTGTCTCCTTTTTGTAATACCAGGGGACTTTCGCCTTGGTGGCGACACACCACACCCAATTCTCCCTGATAATCACTGTCAATAACCCCAGCCTGAATGGTCAATCCTTTTAAGGACAATCCTGACCGCGGTAGAATATGGCCATACATTCCTTTAGGGCACTGTAACCCGAGCCCTGTTTTTACAACTTGAACCTGATTAGGTATTAGGGTCACGGGTTCCAATGTTCTCAAGTCCAACCCTGCGGAGCCTGGGGTAGCTCTGATAGGAAGTTCTGCCCTTTCATCAATCTTCCACATTTTGATAGGTTCTTTATCTGGAGTGTTATGGACAGTGATCATTCGGTTTAGTGGTGTTACCCCTGGTGCGATTGGCCTGTTATTCAATTGGGCCACCGCTTGCGCTAGATTTGGTTTCCAATTGGTCAAGTCATGTTTATCACTCATCTTCCGGAGTGACTCTTTCAACAATCCATTCATCCATTCAATCAACCCAGCAGCCTGTGGATAGTGTTGAGAACGAGAATCTCAATCGATGAATCATAATTTGTATTGACACACGGAGCGTAAAATCAAGAAAAGCATTCAGACTTTACTTATTTTATTAACTTTCAGCGCTGAAAGGAGACGCTTTTCCATTCCACCCGAGAAGAGTTTCTAAAAAAGTCTGTGCAGCGTCTGAGGAGAAAGACGCCATATAATCAGAGCAGCTGATTATATGGACGGAAGACACTCCCTGAAATCACACCATATCTCTGTGGCCTGATAAGTTTCCATTTCTCGTGAGAAATGGACCTTGGTGTCTAACAGAATCAAAAATGTATCTCTTTACTATGGGCCCTTTGTCTAACAGCATGTGACTCTTTCTCGACCTTGGTAAAGCATCTCAACAATAGTAAGGGATATGATATATCCATTCAACATGCTTTTCTGCTGCCCAATCCTTAACCACCTTCACTGTGAAGTGAGTCCCATTATCAGTTTGAACCTGAACCGGAACACCATAAAAAGCTTCAATCTGCTTTAAACACTTCACTGTTGACTTTTGGTTTGCAAACTTACAGGGGCGTGTAACCAGCACCCCAGAGTATGTGTCCACCGCTGTGCACACATATCTGCAACCCTGCGACCATGACAATGGTCCAGTAAAATCCATCTGCCAGATCTGTGCAGGTCCCCTCCCCCTGTGAATATGTCCCTGCAGATGTTGTGGTGTTCCCCTCCTTTGGTGTTGACATGCTTCACATTGTTGAATAGCTGTTTTGATGTCATCTATTTTTAGTTCTATTCCTCTATCTCTGGCCCACTGCTGGGTTCCTTGGATTCCCCAATGTCCTGATTTTTGATGCACCCACCTGGCTAACCCTACACTAGATTCCCGTGCTACCTGCATGGCCCTAAAAACCCCATCGATATACCGGTTGTGTAGTGCCTCAGCTTCGGTACTTTTAGTGTGCGCATCTACATGAGTGATTGTTACTGGTATGGACTGAATTTTCTCCCATATTTCCGTCCATAGCTCTTTTCCCCAGACTTCTTTGTTTTGAATTTTCCAACCATTGTTTTTCCATGTTGGCACCCATGTGGTTAAACCGTTAACCACAGACCATGAGTCAGAAAAAATGTGCACTCCCTGCACTCCTGCCTGCATTATGACCATATGTACAGCTTTAAGTTCTGCCCATTGGCTACTTTTTCCCTCCCCCATTTCCTCCAGAGTTTGACCTAAACAAGGATTAAAAGCTCCAGCCTTCCACCGTCTCTTCCCTACCTGCCACTGAGCAGATCCATCGGTGAACCATGCCCTTTGCTGTTCTTCAGATGTCAACTCATCGTACTGCTTCCCAGACACAACTGGGGATTCCGCCAACTGAGACACTTCAAATGGATGCTCACCCTCCTCTGGGACATCAGCAATCTGTTCATGCAACGCAGAAACACCTTTTTCCCCTGGCTTAGCTCTTTCAGATACGTACCACTTCCATTTGATGATGTTTGCTTCTTGGGCCGTCCCTATTCTGAGTGGTTGGTTCACTCATGACCCATAACAGAATAGGGATGTGGGTTCTCAATAATACATCATGCCCCACCGTCTGTGCTTCTGTCTCCAGCAGCGCCCAGTAACATGCCAACAACTGTTTTTCGAAGGGTGTATACCTCACGCCTGCTGGTGGGAGTTTCCTTGACCAAAACCCCAGCGGCTTCCTCACTCGCCCCTGTTTTTGCCAGAGGCTCCAGTTGGCATAGTCATTTACTGCCGAAACCTGTAACTCAACCGGCCCCGACATCATTTTCCCCAGTGACACAGCTTGTTGTATGGCTTCTTTTGCCAACTCAAACACCCTCTGCTGAGACTCTCCCCAGGTAAACTCCTCCTTTTTCCTGGTCACCTGATACATTGGTTGCAATATTTGGCCTAGATGTGGGATGTGATTTCTCCAGTAGCCAAATAAACAGATAAACTTTTGCACATCCTTTTTGGTATGAGGGACAGCGAACGCAATGATCTTATCTCTGGCTTTCTGAACTATCTCTCTCTCTCCCTTGTTCCACATGATCCCCAAAAACTTCAGTTTGCGATGGTCCCTGAACCTTAGCAGGATTTATTTCCCATCCATGGGCCTTCATATGTTCAATGAGGCGAGGCAGTACCGCGGAGACGACCTCCTGCGTCTCTCCCTGTACCATTATGTCATCAATATAGTGTGATATCAGAACACCAGGCGGTAACTTAAAACCATCCAGATGTTCGGCCACCACCCTGTGACAAATGGTGGGGTTATGTAAATAGCCCTGTGGGAGTCGGGTAAAGGTAAACTGTCGCCCTTCCCATGTGAACGCAAACTGCTCCATTTTGTCCTCAGGAATAGGGATGGTAAAGAATGCATTGGCTAGGTCAATTACCCCATATCATGTCCCTTTGTGGTGTTGCACCCTTTCAATGATGGAGATGATATCAGGTACTGCAGAAGTCAATGGAGGCGTGTGTTTATTCAGCTGGCGATAATCTACGGTCATTCGCCACGTGCCATCTGATTTCCTCACCGGCCAAATTGGATTGTTCCAAGAAGTAGTGCATTTTTTTAACACCCCAGCCGCTACATAATCTTTGATGGTTGCAGAAATCTCTTCCTGACCCCCAGGAATCTGGTACTGTTTCATACTTACCATCTGTGTAGCAAGTGGGATGGGAAATGGAGGCATCTTCACTTTGCCCACCAACACTGATTTCATCTGTAGGGGTCTCGGTACCCCAAACTCAAATTTTCCCTGCTGCAGGTGCAATGTCATACCTGCCAGAACATCCATTCCAATAATCCATTCTTTAACTGGAGTTACTAGAGCAGTATATTCCGCAATGGGTAATTGTCCAATTTTCAATGGTAATTTCACTGCTTTTCCAAATATCACATTTCCCCCAAGTCCTGACAGGGGAACCAAAGGTCCTTTAAATTTATTAGGGTTCCCATTGATTAGTGTAGCCTCTGCCCCGGTGTCAACTAGCGCTAACACTTTCTGTACATTGGTATGTTTCCCATAAATTTCCAACTCAACATGTGGTCTTATGTCATCACTTGACCAATTTGCACCGGGGCTCAACCTTTATCCTAGTAATATTCTTCTAGGTGTGCAAGGTCAGGATACAGGGCTGAATGTCTCCTATCCTTATTCCTACCTTTTTTGCCCTTCTTTTTCTTTTTAACAGTCCGCAGGTGTTTTTCCCCTTCTTCTGATGATCCTGATTCTGAATCCGAAATTTTAGCAATGATCTTTTTCTTAAGGGGCCCACCCGACTGTATTTGTCCTACCGACTCAGATCCACGTGCTTCGCTCATGGACTCCTGGACGACGTCGCGGAGACTTTGTGCCAAAGTATGCAGTCCTGGAAATTCAGAATATCTTGTGCAACTTACCTTCAATCCTTTTTTATGGCATTTCTTCTTTAATTCCTCTGTGGGAAGTCCATCTATTTCAGAGGGAGAGACCCCTGTCTGAATCAGTGCTCTCCAGTACGCAGATCTGGACGGTCCCTGTCCTGGTCTTAGCCCATCCCTGTGCGGGCTACGGGATCCTTGCTGATGGTCATCCCTTCTTCGTGGCTCCTCCCAATTCCCCAGGGCTCCTAACTCCCCTATACGATTCTTAATGTCAGACATGGAGGCACCTGGATCGCCTAGCATCACGGTTAGCATTGCTGCTCGGTAATGGGGGGGTGCAGTACGAATCAGCTGATCCCGCACGGCTTTTGGAACTGCTAAGCTTTGATATTGATCAGCCATGCCCACTACCAACGCATCTCTCACACACAATCGAGTCAAACGCTGTGTACATTCTCTTAACGTTATCCAAGTTCCAGTTATTTCTGGCCAGTCAGTAAATGCAGAGTATTGGTTTTCTATGGCAGCTGCCCATACCACAAACAATGATGCTGCATCTGGCACTTCTCTTACCTCTTGCCGATAATTGGAATTTATTGCTCCCTCGGTAGACAATCCTGCAAAAGGCATCCCATCAACTGCATCTATTTCCGCTTGTGAGGCCCCTTCATCCAGCATCCGTGCTAACCACAAATCTGTCGGTTCCCCATTCTGCTGCCGCAGTCTGCGCGTTAAATCTGACACTTCTTGTGTGTAATTTTCTACAGTGGTACGGTAGATGGGATCAGGCTGAGGAGCCGCTACCATATCATACACTGCATTTCCCTGACCGTCCACTACAAGTTGCCCCGCATTCTCCCTGCGCTGTTGCCGCACATCCGGTAGGTGTCGTTCCTGCCTCCTGCGACGAACAGGTTTCAAGTCCAGCAGAGGGTGAAGGGGGGTGTTCGGTGTTCCCCCACAAGCATCTTCCCCCTCCTCCCAAATATAATCTGTCTCATTTCCCGAAATATTTCCATCCCATTTCTCTGGGTCCCATTCTGCAGTTAAACCAGCAACAAACGCACGAACATTTTTTGGCGAAGGCTGCCGGGGCTTTCTTCTAAGTTTCTGTTGCTTCTTCAGTGCAGCTACCTGAACCACAGTTCTCTCAGCTAACTCCGTCATTTGCTGTAACTGGTTATTCAACAGCTGCACATGTTGCTTATGTGACAATTCTGCGGCTAATGCATCTGCTAAGGCCTGTCTATCTTTCAGCTGCTGTGCCTGCGCTTCTTTATTAATCTCATGCTGCTTTTTCCAAGCGGCTGCGCAAGCCCACATACGCCTTTGCAATCCGGCAACAGGGCTTTTGGCCTCCACCTCAATGCTTTGCAAAACAGCTAACAATTCCGGCGGCTCAGCTTCCCGCAGCACATCTCCCCACGGCTCGGGTCGCCCTCCCCCCTCGCGCAATCCTGAATGCCATCCTGAAGCAGGGGTGGCTGCTTCAGGATGGTCGCCATTCCCCACCAGACAGTCATGCTGCCGGATGGCTTCGAGAGGTAAGTAAGATAGGTAGGTGACTGCCATTCCCCGGCAGCAAGTCATGCTGCAGGATGGCGGCCATTCCCCAGCAGGACCAGCTGCTGGGGAATGGCTGACATTCCCTGGAAGCTGGTCATGCTGAGGAATGGCGGACATTCCCCAGCAGCCGGTCATGCTGCAGGATGGCAGCCATTCCCCAGCAGCCGGTCATGTTGAGGAATGGCCGCCATCATGAAGCAGGACCCGCCGCTGCAGGATGGCGGCCATTGCCCGGCAGCCAGTCATGCTGAGGAATGGCCGCCATCATGAAGCATGACTGGCTGCTGCAGGATGGTAGCCATCCTGCAGCAGCAAGTGATGTTTTGAAATGGCTGTCATATTCAATAACAGAATGAAGAACAACAAAGTCCAATAAAACATTATGAACTTTATTAAACACACACACACACTGAAAATATATAAACTATGTA